TCTCCCTCTCCCTCTCCTTCTCCTTCTCATTCACCCACTCTTCAAATACCATACTCAAACACAATACATGGGAAAACATTACGCCCAAGCTAAAGAGGACTATAGTGCATCATTCGTTTATCTCAAGATACCTACCTCAACAGACAGGACAATATCAGTGTCCGGTGTGGTCGATCCCCCGTCCTTCTCCTTTTTAGTTTTCTTAGGTTTCTCTTCTTCTATATAATCTTCTCCAGTCACTTCCTCAATCAGTAGCTTGGCTGTGTGTGTCCAGCTTTGGAACTCAGTGGTAAGTCGTTTAAGGTCTTTGAACTCCATGTCAGCGTGTTCGTCTCCTTCATCTCGTCTGTAAAGACAATTTAAACCTGGATTAAGGACACGTACTCATTTTATTGTGCCAAGTTAACCATGCAAATATCCTTAGGTGCGCACTAGTGGCTTATTAGTCGATCGAGATGGCATTGCTGTGCATTGTGGGGCTGTATTGGGGGACAAAATAGACGCCATCTTGGAAATATGTCCCCTAAAACAGTCCCACAATGCATTGTAATGCCAACTCAACCCAGTTTTTTCCTTAACCTCGGAAAGGCTAATAGTCAACTTTCGATATTCTGGTTGAGTGAGTCAAGGCTCGGGGGAAACAATAGCGTAATCGTTATTGTTCTTTTGTTTCCCCGGAGCCTCGATCGAATTTTTTTTGTGCTTGATAACTCAACCAGAATAACGAAAGTTGGCTTTTGGTGTACAATCCTTGCAGCTCAAGATATGCACAACAGTACATAGAGCAGTTTTCGTATGACTCTGAAAACGTCGGTGCCGTAATCGTGCCTTACCGCGACCGTGATGTTTTCTAGAATTTTGATTGGCTGACTTTTTTCTCGCGCGATGTGATTGGTCTGGCTGTGCCGTGACATTGGCGTGACCGTGTCTGCGCCGACTTTATTCCGTGTTCCGGGTATTTGATTGGATGGAGAGTAAATTCTCGTGCAATGTGATTGGTCTGGCGTATCCCTTGCCGTGTTACGACCGTGTTCATGTCGTGAGCTTTTCACAGTCATACGAAAACTGCTCTAACACCAAATAAGTGTGTGCGATCGATAGGGATCAAACTACAGACCCTGTAAACTGACCACCTAATTGATCCCTGCACAAAATCTTTTCTTACCTTTCCTGCATTGAATCGACAACCAAATCAGTACAGCATTTCGTAAGCTCCATCGAGAAAGTGTTTAACTCTTCGAACAGTTGATTGGCTCGAGTCATGATTTCTTCTGTGGTTGATTGGAGTAGAATTTCTCCTCCACCGATAGAGGAGTCCACGCTGAGTTTGTCATCAACCACACCTAGTTGTTCGAGGTCTTTGTCTTCCATGTCTGGTGCGAGGCGGAGGAGAACTGTGATCATCCATCGTATCATGGCGCTGTGAATAAGGGATGCCTGGGGGAAATAAGAAATGTTTTAGTCTTGCTATGACCATGATTGTTTAACATCATCATCACTATCACCATGCATAATCATTATCAATATCATCAATACTTTTACTTATTACCATCACCACCACCACCACCACCATCTTCATCATCACCATCAACACTATCATCACATCATCAGAGAACAATCATTATCAGCATCAGCAGCAGAAGCACACCATTACCATTATCATCATCATCATATATAATTACCACTACAACCACTACCACCATCAGCATCATTACATCAACTCCATCAGTATCACCATTACAATCACCATCATCATCATCACCATCATCATCATTACATCAACTCCATCAGTATCACCATTACCACCACCATCACCATCTGTCATCGCCATAATCCTAATCACATCAACATCATTAGAATCATCATCATCCTAACCATCATAATCATTCTCACATCATCATCATCATTATTATTATTATTAGCATCATCTTTATCATCATCTCTATCATCATCACTTTTTAGATAGCTTACTTTCTGTATAATCTTGCCATCTTCATTATCAATGCCATTATTCGTAGTAGACAGCCATTTAGCAATTCTAAGAACAATCTCTTTGACTTCTATCTTATTCTCTACTTCACCAGCCAGCCGCGCGCCTTCTTTTTGAGTGGATCCAATCAGGATTATGGTAGCATTGAGGTGTTCCAGCCATTCGTTACTTATTAGATCACACAATCGTATCCATTCGGGGTCGTGTATCACTTCACCACCATGAAGCATGGAGTCTAACTTATTGCTCCTACAAGACCAGGACRATGTCTTAATAATGTATTAATGGGATGAGTAGCTTCGGTACAAGTAGTGGCATACCTCCAGAGTCTCGGGGGAGGGGAAGTGAAAGTCAACTTTTTTCAACTTACCATGTCTCGATGGGATTAACAAGGTCAATTAATCCCTTCGCGACACCATTTTCTCCGATGGTACGCACATGGAATTGTTGATGGAGTAAATCTACTTCTTGGTTTAACGTTAGCATCTCTTCATGCTGCGGCCATCGCTCACCTGCTAACGTCTGATGGCGACCAAACACCTATCGAAACAAGAACAGTATTGATTAGTGGCAAAGCTTTAGTGCATTCGCCTTTTACCTCTGGTGTCTCGCTTCGATTTCTGGATTGCGCATCACATTTAAGTAGAGTTTGTTGGTTTTCTTCCTCTTCTTCTCCGCGTTCTCCGTTTTTTCTCCCTCCACGAAAACCCAGCACGCTAAATTTCACTTCAATCTGTGAGTTAGCCGTGCCCTGACTTACATCAGCTCAGAGGTTGTTTCAAGGTTTGATCTGTGAGTTAGCCGTGCCCTGACTTGATCAGCTCAGAGGTTGTTTCAAGGTTTGATCARTGAGTTAGCCATGCCCTGACTTAAATCAGCCCAGAGGCTGTTTCAGAGTTCTATCTGTGAGTTAGCCATGCCCTGACTTACATCAGCCCAGAGGTTGTTTCAGAGTTCTATCTG